CAGGGCTATAATGGCTGCTAATTCCATCAGCTGTTTTTGAAATGCAAATGTGTGATGTAAGTTTACATTAACTGATATTCTAAATAAGTTGGGACATTTCCTTGGGTTGCTGACCGGCTTGAGTGAATGAATCTTGGTAATTCATCTTTTTATTATAAAAACACAAGAGATGAACACTTAACACTTTTTCATTAAATGGAAATATAGATCCAGGTGGATTATTTCACATGGAACATGAGTGACAACAGAGGCAAGGAGAGATGTTACCTATCTCCTGCCACTATATGACAGCACTGAGTTGCACGCTACATCTAAAGATATAATACTGCATTTGATACAGCGTCTTTCACATAATGAGGATGTCTCAAAAGAGCTTCACAGGATTTACTGTAAAGTCAAGTGACTGTATATTTTGTAGGCGAATGCAGCAGACAATTTGCACACAGTAGGATTCCACAAACAGCCATGGAGTGACAAGTTTCATATGAGGGATTTTTCTCTTTTCGAATAACGCCATGGGATCTGAGCAAGCAGAAGGGACCTCGGTTTAAGCTCTCATTCCAAAGGATGGTACCTCCAGCAAATTCCACCAGCATTGTATTGGAGCGTTAGCCCAAACTGTTCAAAGTCCCAACATGGGGCTTGACCCCACAGCTTTCTTAGAGGCAAAGAGTGCTACCAACTGAGCCAGGCTGACACCTGACTTAAGAATTTTTAAAAACAGCTCTCGCCCTTGACCAGGAATGGAGGGTGCAAACTATTGGACAAAGTGCAAACATGGGCAGAATCCTTAAAAAGAAATCCTGCCAACAAAAAAAGACATAGTAATAGTGATAATAAGAAAAGCAAGTACAGATACTAAATGAGTTTGCTTCTGTTACTGCCAGATAGGGGAAGAATGAACATTTNAAAAAATCTTATATTTGGTTGTGCCTTTCACGTTGGGATGATGATAATAATTCTTGCATTTGATGTAGCGCCTTATCACGTCTTCGAGAGGATGTCTCAAAGCGATTCACTGGATATACTGTAAAGTGGAGGGAGCGTATTTTGTAGGCAGATGCTGTCATTGTAGTTCCCGGTTGTGCAATACCTCCCACCTTTCCTGGAAGGTCCATCCCCTGCTCCAATAGATGGAAATTCAGCATGACTGTCAGCTCCCCCTCAAGCATCCATGTGATCAGACATGACCCCCAGCTAGTCCACAAGTCTGTACACATTTCTGAAGCTCAACTTAACAGGGAAATTTCCTAGGAGAAACAATGCAGATTTTGGAAATTTTGGAAATGTTTATTATTTTAACAGCGTCGCTTACCTTAATTTTCATATTGATTTATTTGGCTGTCCCCCTGAAAGATTCCTCTCGCAGACTCTAGCAGGCTTCTGTGGCCTCGCACAATCTAAACTTGGGCAGTGAGTGTTGGCAGCCTATTTGAATTTGCACCAACACAATCCAATCCTGGGTTGGCATCCTCCTGGCCTATATGGCTCAGTGATGGCTAATTTGGCTATTCGAGGAACCACAACTGTTTTTCAAAGCCCAAAGTTTTGTCCCATCACTGAAGGGTCTCAACACAAATAATGTAGTGAGAATTTCAAACATTTTAATAAATTCATCTTAGACAATGCCAATAACAAGCCTGCACTAAATGACAGATTCATTTTGGGGTAATTGTTTACATTTGACAAGGAGAACAACATAAAACAACAAAATTACATTTACAGAGCGCCTTTCACGTCGGGACGACATCCCAAGCGCTGAACAGTCAGGTGTCGGGGCCTGAGCATGGGAGAGGGTTGATGTAGGGGTGAGGCAGAGAGGTGGGAGGGCGATCAAAGGGTCTTGAGACCGGCCTTGAAGGAGGCAAGGGAGGAAGTGAGACAAAGGGACCGTGGGCTGGAGTTCCAGAGTGTGGGGGCAGAGAGGCTGAAAGCTCGGACACCGATGGTAGGGTGGGAGACATGGAGCAGGCCGGAGCTCGCCTGAACAGAGGGAGCGGGCAAGTTGGTAGGGAGTCAGCAGGTCAGAGAGGTAGGAGGGGGCAAGGCCATGGATGGCCTTAAAGGTGAGGACGAGGATCATGAACTCGATCTGATGGGAGATAGAGAGCCAGTGGAGTCGGGCAAGGGTGGGAGAGTGCACGAGCTGCAGAGTTTTGGATGATCTGCAGCTTGTGAAGGGAAGAGTTTGGAAGGATAGGAGGAAATTAGAACATGAGTGACAAGAGGATACTAAAAGTTAGCTTTAGTTAATTTTTGCATTTACAAGAGCACGATTTGTACAGAAAACAGATCAGCCTGTTCAAGTGTCAACCTGCCATAGTAGTAGCATTTTCACCTCTGAGTTAGTCACCTTAGACAATGTGATTCCAAAAAAAAATGAGTGAAAGCCAATTGCACACAGCAGTGTCCCACAAACAGTTATGGATTGAGTAACCATTTTTCCTGATGATTACCCCCGAAAAAGCGACTAACAACCGGGTTCCTTACTGCTTGGTGAACAGAAGTGTGTAAAGTAAGGAAATTTGCCTAAGATATTGCCCTGCCCAGGAATCAAACCTGGGTCCTCTCACGTGCAAGTCGAGTTCTCTAACCACTATGCTATAGGACATTTGACCATAAAGATCCCATGGCACTATTTGAAGAAGAGTTTCTCCCAGTTCCTGGCCAACAATTTCCTAAATAAGATTGGTTACTCGCTCCATGTCTGTTTGTGAGACATTGCTATGTGAAACTGACTGCTAGTTTTGTCCACAAAATACACACTGAATCTGCTTTTACAGTACATGATAAAGTGCTGTAAATAGTTGGAATTATAGTATAAGAATCATTAGTATTGAGCATGTAGTGAATAGATGAATTAAGTAGAATGAATTAAATAAAAACTGCCATGTGGCATGCATCACACACACAAATCAATATTATGAGGATAAATACCTCAGGCAGACTCTGACTAACCGATTAACCCAGATGAACTCCCAGGATTCGGGGCTGATTAAGGAAGCACAACAGTATGCTTTCCTTTAAAGATATAACGGCTCTGAATCAAACCCAATCTACAGTAAATAAAATTATAGTGAATGAGGATAGCAGGAGTGATGAGGAATCACTAGCCATCGCATGCACCTCATATCTAGCACATCTAGTATGATACTGGCCAGTTTTAAATAAAAGAATCTCGACTTCCTGATTGGTGGACAGATGGGCAGCTACAACGCATGGTCCCGGGGAAATAAACTTACGTCTGGTCAGACAATTTACCCGGACCCGAGTGGTGTCAGTGCCTTGCTCCTCCACCGCTGAATTTCATTACAATGGATTGATTCTGCACGTTCCATATTTTTCCATCCCACAAGGCACTGCACTGTACCATCTCCATCCTTTAGGAACAATCAGGGAGGGACATTTCACACAGTATCTAACTACATCTGGTTTTGTTACCCATGTAAATGATACTCAACGGGAAGGGGTCGACCTTGCTGATTGTATTTTAAGGCAAGAGAAATGGGCCTTCCCCCATGGAAGATATCCACCTGCGGTCTCATGATTGGACAAGCGTTACCTCAATGCCAACTTTCTCTGACTTCCCATTGGGTTGGTACCAAGTACGTACACCGTGGTTAAAGTGGTTTATTGTTATGTCACCACTGAAACTTCCTTGTAGTATGGCGGACAAAATTACCCCAACCAAGTCTACAGAATGCTTACCTCATGTTTCCCAGCACAGATCGGGGAACAAATTCACCCTTCATCGTACGACTCTACTCGTGTGCAGCTTCAGACTTACAGCGAAAGGCATTGGAGGCGATCGCCCATTTCGGACATATCTCTTTGCAATCCACAAACTTGCAGGCTATACTGAACCGGGAACCTGGGGCTGAATCGCTCAATCCAACATGGTGGGGGGGGGAGGGAGGAACAACACCCTTTAGACCCTTTATAGTGTTGGACAGCACCCTATATTACATCTTTTATTACAATTGTTCAAATCGTAATGCTCGTTGCATTGATGATTGCAGTAAGATGGGTTTGCTCTCTTCTTCACGGTCCACAAGAACAGCAAACCCATATGGATCTGGTCTCGCTTATTAGAAGAGGATGATCCATGATAAAGCAGGACGTGTATTAATTTTTTCATGTATGAACCAATTTTTTAATGTACTATTCAATTATTTTATGTGTATTACTAACTCAAGGTTTTTTTGAGATTAGAAACCTTACGGCTCCTTCACTCAAGTTGGGGACTGTAAATAGTTGGAATTATAGTACAAGAATCATTAACATGATTATGTAGTGAATAGATGAATTAAGTAGAATGAATTAAAGAAATAAAAACTACCATGTGGCATGCATCACACACACAGTCCTCCTAAAGAGCAAGGCAGGAGTACACTGGAATGCGACCCATGGCCAGGATAAGGATAGCTGGATCTGGAGGATGGACGGTAGGCCATCTGCGCTTACAAGGGCATGTGACCTAGAGGCAGGAGAGATGGGAACCTGGGATAATTGGACCAGGGGAATGAATGGGAGGCCAACTGTGGGGCAGGTATACAAAATTAGCAATTAAGACTGAGGAAACGCTTGAGATCAGCAGGGCACATGGACAGAGTCAGAAAGGAGCACAATGAATTATGGAAACTTCAAGGACATGAGAGTCAGGCGATCTGGTCGAGCTAGGTAAGATGGAATAGGAAGAGTATTGTTCTTTTGCAGAAGGTACCACTAGTTGGTCCAAGGGAAAACAACTTGAAGATAGGGAAAGAATGGCGGGACAAAGAGCAGGGTTTTAGAACTGCCAATTTGAGAAAGAATGAGAAGAAAGGAGATAGAATACAGATGGCTGGCAAAAAAAGTATAAAAAACGGTAGCCAAAATTTAGAAGTATTCGAGCCTCCAAAGAGAGGAAGGGATGAACCCTTACGATAGTGCTTTAGTAATCATTTAAGCACAACGAGTAATGATCATGGGTCGGGTGTAATGTGATGCTTATGCTTGTGTGGTTTTATAATTACTAATAAAACATTTTAATGACATCCTTGGTGTGATTTCTGACAAACTCTTGAACCCAATTTCACAATGCCATATCAATTGCAAGGATTATTATTATGAAATCCAATGCCAGAGAATTCTCTCAGAAATTGGCAACTCTCAGCACAACAGAAACATTCCATTAAAAGTTTTTTTTTTAAAAAATGAGCCTTGCAGTCACATATCATTGGAGCATCCAACAATAAATTTCAGTCTCTCAAGGTCAGATTTACTTCATTCATCTTCCTCTTTAATTTTTTTCTTCTTTTTCTTCTTCTTCTCTGTGGGCTGTAAAGGAAAGACAGTGAAAAGGTTATTGCTAAAATTCTACATCATGCCCACCGGCAGCAAGGGCACAAATCTATCTCAGCATGCGAGATCACAGAAACTCCAGATGCAGGTTGAGGCCCCCTCCCTCCCACTACCAGTACTGAATATATTTACAATACAAATTTACATATAGGAATATAAGAATTGTTAGGGNAAAAAAAGACTAAAGTCATCTAGTTCGCCTTCTACCATCTTGGTAGACGCATGCTACAATAATAGTGGAAAGCTTTGGGAACCTTAGATCTAAAGTTGCCTGGTTTTCCAAGCTTACTACACTTACTATATATCATGTCTCAAATTGCTCATGTTGTACTCCAAAATATTATTTTCTAAAAGAAATTATCTAATTTGTATTTGAATGAATCAGCACTTTCTGCTCCACCATCTGCCTAGGGAGCCCTTTCCATAGATTTACCACTCACTGACTGAAATAGCGCCTTTCATGTCAGGAGGATGTTCCATGGCACTTTATACTGGCTTGGCACCTAAGTTGGGGGCGGGGCGCCGGGGGAAAGATGACCTAAAGCATGGTCAAAGAGGGAGGTCTTGAGACAGTCCTTGAACAAGACGAGAGAGGGAGGAAGTTGACAAATTCTGGGATGGAGTTCTTTCTATTTAGTGTGTGTTGGGGCTTGAGAAATCTGTAGAACTGTACCCCAAGAGAAGTAATTTCAGGAGTGAAGATTGCTGAGAAAATAAATGTTATTTTGCTGTGAGAATCCTGTAAAGTTATGGGTAACCAGTGGACAATTACCAAGAACCCAAGACTGGTGGGAGCAGTTAAGCCTACAGGCCAGCTTCACTGAGTCTGATGCTTAGGTACGCCTCCTAGAGGCCCGTTATTACAGGCTTGGCAAAGGTTGGTTTAAGTGGCCATAAAGCACTCAGAAGTTGAGAGGAATCCATGTATTAAACGTCTGCTGGACGTTACCTGCATGAAGAGGCTATATAAATGCAAGTTGTTGATATCAACCCATCACATGCAATTGAGACCATCTAAGATCCAGACACACAGGGGAACTGTAGAGAGGAATCTTACAATTTAATAAAATGTAAAATAGAGGAACTCTGTGATGATCGAAAATACCCAGTTATTCACTCTTTCAACTGCACATTAAGCTTTCACATTCTCACCTCCTCACTAATAGTGACCGGCTGCTCTTCTTCATCCTCCTCTTGCTTTATAACCACCTCAGGCTCTGGCTTCTCTTTCTTCTTCTTTTTCTTCTTTCTGGACGACTCACCCTCCTCTTCATCTTCCTTTCCTGCTTCCATTAAAACGAAAGACAACACCACGTACATCATAGCACAGCAAACACATACAAAATCACCTTGCACCAGCACAATAAGCTCCTCAGTTACTTATATAGTTTCCGCCAAAGTATAACGCCCAGACAGTTAAAGGGTCGATACAATCACTGACCTGTTAAATCAGCTCCTGATAGTCGTGCCTTTTTCTTTTTGTTTTTCATTTCTGGCTTGTTTCCCACCTCATCCTCTATCTCCTCAAACTTTCTCTTTCTCGGTAATGACGGTAAAGTTGAATCTGCAGCTGGGTCGTATACTTTCACCTCACTGAAAACAAGCAACGTACATTAGGAAAGCACAAGGTAATTATACTGCTGTATATAATTTAATACGTAAATATTAATACACACAAACATGTACCACTCCAGCTATGGAGATGGATAAAAACAGAAACCCTTTCCTCCCTCACAGGAAATATATTACTTAGCGCTCCGAGGTCTGGGTAAGATGGTTATGGGTTTGAGCTCCACAAAGACCCGAGCACATAAAATCCGCTAACATTCCAGTGCATTACTGAGGCAGCACTGCATTGTCAGAACTTCTTGCGCTTGTCTTGACGGTATAGGTGGATATCAAATATCCTGAGCGCTATTTTGAAGAATAGGGATTTGTCATCTCTTACCTAATCCTAATTTCCACCCCCAAAGAAAGAGATTCACCTGTCCGTTTGTTTTGGCAAGACATGGTTAGTGGAGTTTAGCTGCTCTATTTCCCTACATAATATAAGGATCATAATAGCCATTGGTTTATACAAATTCATTATCTAAAATGATTCAAATGCACGTATTTCTTTCAGTTTAAGTATGTTGCTTTGTCATGTTGCTACGCCCACAAAGTCAGGCAAAGCAGGCCACCTGTTCTCAAGCCTGTCAAAGCCACTGTAACAACAAAATTACATTTATATAGCGCCTTTCACGTCGGGAGGATGTCCCAAGGTACTGGACAGATAGAGCTTCGGACCTGAGCTGAGGGTCGGGGGAAGAAGGGAGATTAAAAGAACAGTCGAAGAGCAGGGTCTTGAAGGTGATGAGGGAGGGGTCATGATGGAACAGGCACAAGCAGAGCTCGGGAGAATGTGCTGACATTCTCAGCCGCTCCGTTACGTGACTACACTCTGCTCTTGATCCTCACTGTAAACCTAGACTTCAGACTAGATCAAAAAACACATGGGAAGGAACCAGGCGCTGCTTACCTCTTGTTTTGGTATTTGTCGAACTTTGCCAGGGCCTTCCCAGTCCCACTTATTCTTCTCAGCTACAAGAAATAACAGAAGGGCGTTCGCACAAAGTACTATTTATTCCCAGTTATGGGGGGCAGTGAGAGCAGCGCTGGGTATGGGCCCGAGGAGCTCCAATTCAAAACCTCTACAAAATGAAACAAAAAAAAAAAGCACGATTCCCCCACCCGTGCTCCACAGGTCTTTCCCGCGTTGAGCAAGCCAGGAGACCAGGTACCAAACTGCGGGTGAGAGAAGTCAAGGTTCAAATGCTTTCTTCCAGCGGCACTCCTGGTGTCAGGTTTCCCAACACAATTGTCACTTTGTTTAATGTCCATTGTGAGAGGCGGCACCTGATCGGTCAGGAATTATATATTAATGGAATAAGTTTGTGAGCTCTTGGGGGATGAGAGTCAGAGACGGTACAACACAAGTGGGCAACAGGTCCCCTCTCCCAGGGTTGTATAACTGGGCTCCTGGTCCCAAACCTCTGGTTGAGTTTGACACCTGGCAGCTGTGTGTGGAAATCACCTACAAAAATATGGTCACAAACCTCACTGGTCATTAGTTGATTGGTGGATCGGCTTCCGGGGCTAATAATCCATTCAAAAGAAATAAATAACATCGTCGCAATTGGCTCCCATGTCGCACCCACAAAATACAGTGAATTCATTTTACAGTATATCTTGTGAAGCGCTTTCAGACGTCTAGAAAATGTGATCAGGTGTTATATTAAATGCAAGGATTATTATTATTATAAGCTACTGATAAATAGCAATAGCCAAGTTTAAAAATGTGTTCTATAAGCTCCAGGAGATGGTTTGGTGGGTAAAGGCACTGCTTGGTCATACAGACAAGAATGTTGCAGGTTTGAGCCCTACTCTGTACTGAGTTGGGTGATCTTATTTGGAGCTGTTATTGACCTCCTTCTCCTGAAGGTATCTGCACTGAAGTAATGGACAATGTCAAAGTCACCTGACGTCACACAAAGTCACCTGGTTGAATAACACTCATTGTCCAGGCTCATACACGTAGTCAGGCTATTTGGGCGTAGTACCATTCCGCATCAGGAGTACATACAAAAAGGCAACAAAATGCGTTTTTAAAAAAACAGGATTTGAAGCTGAGGCAAGGGGAGCAATGGGAAGCACTCGGTTTGCTTATTGCTTTGGATAAACCTCTTGATAAAAGTGTCATTGGTCATATTTTACACGTACCCCTCTCTCTTCTAAATGCCGGAGTCTGATCTCCAGCTTGGCTCGGTTCTCAACTCCCAGTTCTCCATTCGTGTCATCACCCAGTGCATCATACCGGATTGCCAAGGCCGTCTTCGCTGCCAGCATCCTGGACATCTGATGAGAAAAACAGCTCTGCATCAAGAGCTTACATGTGATACCCAGTACTGTCCCTATCAAGATGAATGTGGTTGCACAGGCTTGATGGGCCGAATGGCCTACTCCTGTTCCTGTGCCATCATTCCCGTTATTAGTCTATATTAAACACCACACGATGAATGTTTCTTCTTTGATGTCAACAAGAGTATATTTCCCAACTTTTTGGTATCAATGCTAGCATCAAATTCCCCCCCCCAGAACGATGTAGTTTACTTCAAATATAGAGAAAGCTTTCTCTACTCTCCAATAAAACCACGAACAATCCCTCTTCCATCTGCACTCGCGTGACATTTCCATTCGCTATTTATTCCTGTGATAGCACACCATCATTTGGTGTACTCAGCTCATCATTAACTTCAAGACAACGCTTACTCCTCACCTTGCCCTTGTTCTTTGGTGTAGTCTGCCCAAGCAATGATGCATGGTAAATCAGACCATACTTTGGGGTGTCTTTCCTGGTCTTAAGTGCTCTGAATAGCGCCTTTTCTGCTCCTAGGATCTGCACAGTGGATGCAGGATGTTTTGCCAGATTCAGCAAAGAACCTATGGGAGTAGGTGCATCAAATCAGTCAGATATTCAGCAAAAGAGATTGCTCATTGTTAATATCAGGCTATATAGAGGTTCTCAGTGCTAATGTCAAGCAATTTAAAGGTGCCAATTGCCACTATAAGGATTATACATAACCTTGAAGTGCAGAAAAAAAACACTGATGTGTTGACATACCCCTACAGACTTATGAGCAAGGAGTACAGTATTTGGCCCTGGATTACTAGAGCATTTGTAAATTTCTACTCTGCATCTCCCAACCTCATTTCCTGTGATGCGTCAAATGTTTGTGGACAAGCTCATTCAGGAGTCTTGATGGGCATGCCCAGAATATTCCTGGCACAATAACAGACAAATGACAACACAGGACCCCAGTAAGCTTTAAAAGTATAACCCTTCCCCCTGGTGGCAAGTATTGAAGTAGAATAAGTGTGCTTTGTGTACCCATTTGTAACTAGACTGCCATATGACCTAGAGTAGCATGGTCCAACAGACAGCCCGTGGGTGACATGTGACCCACAGAGTGATTTTATCTGGTCAGCAACCATTTTGAATATTTGCTCCCTCTCTGGTGAACATCCTCCCTGGGCAGCATCAGGACCCGGTGGTTGGGAGGAGAGTGCAACTAGGGTTTCGGACGCAGTGGAGAGAGAGTGGGCGGGTGGGGGTGGGAGAGGAGATAGAAGAGTGAGTGAGGGGCAGGGGAGAGAGAGATATAGAGAGGGGGTGGAGAGGGGAGAGATAGAGGGGAAGGGAAGAGAGAGCAGAAAGAGATTGAGAGAGTGAGTGTGAGAGAGAAGGGGAGAGCGAGCGATAGAGAGGGCGATTGAGAGAGGGAGTGTGTCAGAGAGTATAGCAGGGAAGAGACTGGAGGAAAGGGAAGAGAGAGTGTCAATCAGTTGTGCAGGTCACTATCTGCAGCGCCAGGACTAAGTTGCTAAGGATGCAGTTGATAAGAGACTCGCTTGTCTTCCTTACAGACTGCAGTAATGGCCGGTTTTATTTACAACACCAAATTACATTTATAAAGCACTTTTCATGTCAGGACGTCCCAAGGTCCCGAACAGTCCGAGCATGGACCCGAATGTGGGGATGGTTGAGATGAGGGAGGGTGGAGAGGTAGGAGGCCAGCTGAAGGCACAGTCAAAAAGGAGGGTCCTGAGTCGTGCCCTGAAGGAGACAAGGGAAGGAGCGAGGTGATGGGAGTTCCATAGATATGGACACTTGCCACGCTGCGTCCCAAATGCCGGCTCTACTCTCCAACCGACGGCTCCTGTCTTTGCCCTGGGAGGACGTTCACCAGGGAGGGTTGGAATGTTGGAAATGGTCTCGAGCTGGATGCGGCCCGCAGGTCTTTCTCAAATGGGGAATCCAGCCCACAGCATCCAAAAGGTTGGACCACCCTGACCTAGAGGAAATGAGTCTCCCCTCCTCTCCTCAGAGAACCTCTACGCCACGCATTGACCTAGTTTAGGATAACTTTTCAGGCCTACAGGAGGCAGTTTGCTCCATTGGTAGGTGGTGCAGGAAATGAAATAGTAGAGAAAAACTTCTGGGGGGAAAAAAAAACTTGAAGACTTAAAAAACAGTGAGGCATTTATAAGCAGCAATAATTCACCAGCATGTGCTATCAATCGAGCTCCAACCAGTTCTCCCACCATGATGGTTAAGTTGGGGGCAATGGCCATCATCCGATTTTTCAGATAGTCGTAGAGCTGGGTCCTGTACTCGGAAATCTCCACTACCTGGAACAAGGAGATAAACCATCAAGTCATTAATTTTCTGTTACAATCTACTCATAGCAAAGGCTGGAAATGAAACGCTACTATCCACTGAGCGCAGTCATTCAGGCAAATATACACCTATAATGGGACAATTCCAGTATATCACCTCCTCAATGGGACAAGACATTTTGTTTTACACAAGTTATCATAATTGCACAGTGCAGATAAATTATTTCATACGACAGAGACAATGTCCTTTTCTTTAAAAAGGCATCCTAAATAGTAGCTCAATGGTTAGAGCACTCGCCTCACAAGCAAGAGAACTGAGTTCAATTCCCGGCAGGGCGAGACCTTGGACAAGTTTCCTTACTCCACACACCTGATAATAATCCTTCAAGAAAAAAACAATAATAGTTTGGTCACTCAATCCACGACTGTTTGCGGGGCACTGCTGTGCGCAATTGTCTGCCGCGTTTCACCCACAAATATACAGTCAAAACATTTTTCAATATATTCGGTGAAGCACTTTGAGACGTCTAGAAGATGTGAATAGCGCTATATCTAATGCAAGGATTATTACACACGATACCACTGGGCCGGATTCAATGTGATTATACCCGACACAGTAAATCTGGGGTTCAGCCACCCAACACTGACTGTCTCAGATGAGGTAGTGACTAAAAAGCATTCAGAGTTACATCGGGAAGAGTGACGGTAGTCATCATCATCATCACTGGAGCCAGTATTACAACAACAACAAGATTCCAATTATAGAGCGCCTCTCACGTCGGGAGGATGTCCCAAGGCGCTGGACAGTTGGGTCAGGACCCGAGCAGGGGGGAAATGGTCAGGGGGAGGGGAGGGAAGGGAGGGAGCGAGGAGGGGGAAGAGAGTCGAGAGGGGAGCTGAAGGCACAGTCAAAGAGTAAGGTCTTGAGACCGGATTTGAAGGAGGAAAGGGAGGAGGCGGCGAAGGCACTGGGGGATGGAGTTCCAGAGCCTAGGGGCTGAGAGGCTGAAGGCCCGGCCACCGATGGTAGGGGGGTTAGGGCGGGGGATGTGGAGCAGACCGGAGCCAGAGGAACGAAGGGTACGGGCAGGTGAGTAGGGGGATAGTAGGTCGAAGAGGTAGGAGGGAGCAAGGCCGTGAATGGCCTTGTAGGTGAGGATGAGGATCTTGAATTCGATCCTCTGGGGGATGGGGAGCCAGTGGAGACGAGCGAGGGTGGGAGTGATGTGGTCGCGAAGCCTATTAAGTAGCCTATTAAGAAGTATTAAACAGGACAGAACACGGCGCCAGCAATACAGCAGTTAGCAAAACGGTGGGGGGGTCCTGTAACCAAAGCAACAGCAGCACTAACCTGATCACACAGGTGCAAGATATTCACAATGTCTTCCTCCGAGACCTCTGTTCCCATGGATATCTCGGCTGCAACCTTGACTGCAGCTTCCACCTCCTCTGGAAGGATGTCTGAAAGGTCAGTGGTGGCAGTGTTTGTTCGGTCTCCTGCGGAGTCGTAAATAAGCAACAAAGAAAATTACATGTAGCACAGTTTTGCCTGACATGAATTAAGTAATAATTTATATAGAAGAGCCATCAGCATAAAGCCTGGTTTGAACCCTGGTGCAATTTGCCTTTGGTTGAAGGGAGAAAATTAACCAGGATTCTCACTTCTCTTGTGGAGGTGTGTGCGAGTAATCACCAGGATATCACCAACCTTTGCTGTAACACTGCTGCTGGCACCCCCATTTCAAAATACACTACCTAGACTTACAAGTCAATAATGCGCACAAGGGTGAGGCATTTATTTGGCACTTGGAGATCAAAAGTCAAATAAAATAATTAGCAAACCCAGCACTGGCTGTCTCAGATGAGGTAGTGACTAAAAGCCTTCAGAGTTACATTAGGAAGAGCGACAATTGTCATCATCATCACTGAAGCCAGCATTAAAAGAGTTAGCAAATCTTTTGCCAATATTGCATCAATGAAGCATTAACCCACCTTTCTTGTCAGATGTTGATTTCCAACCTTGCATTCCTCGTAATATCTGCTTTTATTTTGATAACCTGCAGTGTTCACTATTACAGTAAATAAGAGTAAACTTGCACACTTATACTTGTATACCTGTTTTACATGTACCTCTCTTTGTCAAAGAATAGTGGGCTTTCGGGTCAAACTTGTAAGGTATATTATTTTATTCTAAATCTTCTATTATCTAAATTATGTGACAAATAGCTGAAAAACTGAATAATCATAGAATGTACACGGCCCTGCGCACGACCCGAGCAGACACGGAAATCTCATGAAGAAGCTGTCAGCCAGAGAGCCGCATTAGCAGCAGCAACACAGCCACCATTACCAGCCACAGCAACAGAACCCGTGAGTGAGTGAACGTTGAAGATCCCATGGCATCATTCGAAAAAGAGGATGGAGTTTCTCCCGGTGTCCTATCCAACAATCTTCCAAATCAAATTGGTTACTAACTTCATATCTGTTTGTTGGATATTGCTGTGTGCAAATTGGCTGCCACGTTTGCCTACAAAATTCACAATCACTACACTTTTCAGTAGATCGTGTGAAGCTTTTAGATGTTTCGACAGCATGAAAAGGTGGTGTATCAAATACAAGGATTATTATCTCATAAATACATTATATAGGGTCATAGAGTCCTGTAGCTCAGTGGTTAAAGCACTCGCCTTGCAAGCGAGACACCTGGGTTCAATTCCAGGCAGGGCGAAACCTTGGGCAAGTTTCCTTACTCCACACAGAGCCTAATAATAATCCCTCCAAAACCAAACAATAATAAATTGATCATTTTCAATCCACAACTGTTTGTGGGACACTTCTGTGCGCAATTGGCTGCCGCGTTTACAGTATATTCTGTGAAGCGCTTTGAGACATCTAGAAGACATGAAAAGCACTATATCAAATGCAAGTATTATTATTATTATAATAATAGTCAGGAAGCAGCTTTGTGTACAGGCACTCTCCACAGTGAAAACCAGGCACACATATAGCATCACAGTATTAAGAGTGTTCTTTAGTAATTACAGACTGGTATCGAAACTCTGCTACATTCAGACTTGGGATAGAATTTAACATCAAAAAAACCTGTGTATACTCCTGGGGCAGAGCACAGAGCGGGTAGGGAAAAATAATAATAATCCTCACATTTCATGCAGCACCTTTCACATTGGGAGGATAAGTCAAAGCGCCTTACAAAATACAAAGTAAATTCACTTTACAATATATTCTGTGAAGCGCTTTGATACGTGTCGAAGACGTGATAAGGCGCTATATCAAATCCACAAATTATTATTAACAGGCTGCATTGGTGTGACTGTATTTTGTAGGCAAACCTAGCAGCAAATTTGCATAAAGCAATATCCCACAAACAGCCATGATATGATTGACCAATTTTATCTGGAGGAATGTTGGCCAGGGCACCAGGAGAAGCTGCTTTAGCTTTTCTCAATTGTTTCATGGGATATTTAACATTTACCTGAACATCTCACCGGAAGGACAATGCAGCACAACCTCTAGAACTAGACTACAACTTCAAAGTCCCAATATCAGGCTTAAGCCCATAATGTTCTGATTCAGAAGCAAGAGAGTTACCAGGCTGACAAGACCAACTGAGCCAATCTGGTAAAGAGGTACTTACCCAATTTCTGCACACTCTTGCAGTATGCCAAGTTATCTGAGACGATTTTTCCAAGTTCTGGGAAATGCCAGCCGTACCACTCCCGGCATCGCATGATGTAATTGTTCAGCTCCTTATCCAGATCATCCAGCAAAGCTACAGATATCAGAGAGGGAAGTAAATCATTCAGTAGATCTACAGCTAGAAAGGGGAGTTAGTACAGACCACCCCCCAACCTCCATTTAAACGCAGTGGTCTGGGCACATAAACTCAAGACCGCCATGTTAAAATGAAACATGAAGATTGGCTGCTCCCCAGGTCCTCCTCTCCCACATCCCCTCCTGCGCATTGTACAGTACGCAGGAAACTACTTCCATGGACTTCTTGTATATTACTGATATCAGCAGCAACCAGACAACCTTTGTCATCTCTCCAGCAGTGACGAGTTTGAAGGTCTTCACTACTCTTCAGCTCAACAAAAAAATACACCACAGATGACAGACACCAAGAACATCTCACCATTGACTTCGATTTCTCTGAAGTTCACCACAAAAGATATGTTTGGTTTCATTAAAAAAAGTTAAGAGATTAGAAGGGCCCTAATGTCTAACTATAATTGTGTGTTGCAACACACTGGCCTATCAGTGTTTATCTTTTTGTTTCTTGTTACTATGTCGGGTTGAAGGAAAAACCTCAGTGATCAAGGATTGTGCCATAATAATAATCCTTGCACTTATCACGTTGTTGACAAGTTTCAAAGTGCTTCACAAAATATATTGTATTTTGTGGGCAAAACGTAGCAGCTAATTATGCACAGCAGAATCTCACAAACAATCATGGATTGAGTGACCAAATTTCTTTTTGGGGGAATTATTAACCCAGAAAGTGATCTGCCAATCGACTAACAGCAGGGTTCCTACTTACTGCTAGGTAAACAGTGGAGTGAGGAAAACCTGTCTTAGGTTTCGTCCCGCCTGGGAATTGAACCTGGGTCCTCTCGCTTGCGAGGCGAGAGGACAACTACGCTATGGGACTCCAAACACTAATACCAATTCAGGGAAACACTTCAGATGGATGTGAGGCTAAGGAGCAGATCCCTGAACTTACATATCGCTTGCACAATCATGGTGTCCACCTTGTCTGGACTGAACTTCAACTTGTAACGTGACAGACTGCAACAAAATGTGAAAACAGCACAGGTTATACACAGTACCAGCACGAACCTCAGCCCCCCACCCCACCAAACCCCACTCATTACAGGTTATATGTAGAATCAGCCTGCAATGATTTACCTTCAGTACATGAAGGGAATGGGATTTTATGCTTGTTAATATCTGTATAATATCTATCCATTTTGAGGTAGCCAAGTTTACAAACTGAAGCTAAGATATCTTTTCAGTCCACACTGACCTGTGAGCGAGACCCAAAGACATGGCGCTCATTTCCCGAGGCTGCAGTCCAGTGATTAGGCCACTCATCTGGGAGCGGATTCCCCGCATCAATTCAGCGATGGCCGCATTGTGAACGCAGCTCAGGTTAAGCTTGTCCTGCACCCAAAAAAACACACCAAACTCATTGGCAGACAATCGGGATTCATGACCGCAATTTCAGGAAATTTATAAGAGCGTGACCCCCTTTCTTCTCCTGCATGTTGTTCACCAACACAGAAGCATATCTTATGTCGCTTGATATTTTAAACTGCACAATAGCAGTATAATTAAGGCAGCAATGCCCTCTGGGAACTTTGCACAGTAGATCTCTGCCTGTAGCGGTCACTTTGTCACCAGCAAATATTCTGCTGGTTGCTAGGGATTCTGTGCTTGGTGACTAGTACAGACCTTACTCAGCCACTGATAAACTTGTCACCTCCAGGGTTATTCAACATCCTCAAAATAAAGTGGAACCAATTTCTTCGGAACTTAATTTTAAATGGGACCATTTCTGTGGGACCTGGAGAGTGCCACTACATTTTACACACTAGAGGTTCAAGCAAACATAAAATCATTAGGTTTTCACTGCAGTCATGAAGTAATTACAGGAATGGAAAAGTTATTACCAGTGCACATGAGCAGGCCACCATCTTAAATACAGTCTGAGTGGGGCAAGAAAATAAATACTGCTCCCCTACCAATTGCACAGCACTCTCCAGAGTGTCAGAGGTAGTGACGAAGTATCAAAGAGTCATCACAACTGAGGCAGAATTACTGAAATGCAACACTGACACAGAGAAACGCTAAATCCACTCACTGACCTTTCTCCTCCCCACCAGCCTCTACTATAGATAAAATAATAATAATCCTTGCATTTGATATAGCGCTTTTCACGTCGGGAGGACGTCCCAAAGCGCTTCACAGAACACTCTGTAAAGTGAATTGACTGTATATTTGTGGGCGAACGCGGCAGCCAATTGCGCACAGCAATGTCCCACAAACAGTCGTAGATTGAAAATGACCAATTTAATTATTGTTTTTGGTTTTTTGGAGGGATTATTATTAGGCTCTGTGTGGAGTAAGGAAACTTGCCCAAGGTTTCGCCCTGACCTGCCTGGAATTGAACTCAGGTCTCTCACTTGCAAAGCGAGTGCTCTAACCACTGAGCTACAGGACTCCACGATGGTAGATGGTAGATGGTAAGTTTGAATGATCCACGTAGATCACTCTTGGTCAACTAAGCTTGGCCAATAGAAAAGTGCGGCCACAATTTCCCCACAAAATCCGCTAACATCAATCTCTGCTAAAAACCTGTAAAAATGAAGTTTCCTCGGCGGCCAGGCCTCTGCGCTGTTGCCAGATGTTTACCCAAAGCACATGTGCCGTTACTATGGGCGGAGCAGCTCCAGGCGCGCATGTGGCGCGAGCAGGAAATGGATGTTGCTCACCCAGAGGCCCCTAGCTTGTCCGTGTGTCTCTATGTCTGTACATATGGGTCAATTGTGAGTGCCACTGTGTGTCTATCAGTGTGTGCCTGTTTCTATGAATGTGTGTCTGGCTGTGAATGTGCATCTCTTTGTGTCTAGGAGTGTGTATCTTTGTGTCTATGTGAGTGTCTCTCAGGGACTCTGTGTCTGGTGGTGGCCCAGAGAGGCAGGAGGTGGCAAGCAATGGTGGTGCTTGGCAAATCTCCAGGTCTTCAAATATAGAGCAGGGTAGAAACAGACTATTCACCCTGGTAATCAAGGTAATTTTCCGCACAATTTGTCAAATTTCGGCACAATTTTTGGCAAATATTTCTGCCATTTTCTACTGGCCCTGGCCCGACAATCATATGCATTGAAGGAGGCCATTTGGCCTGTCATGTCTGTGCCGGCTCTTTGAAAAGAGCTATCCAAATCAATCCCACTCCCGTGTTCTCTCCCCATTGCCCTGCAAACTTGTCTTGTGGAGTCCTATAGCTCAGTGGTTAGAGCACTCGCTTTGCAAGTGAGAGACCCGAGTTCAATTCCAGGCAGAGGGCGAAACCTTGGGCAAGTTTCCTTACTCCACACAGAGCCTAATAATAATCCCTCCAAAAACCAAAAACAATAATAAATTGGTCGTTTTCAATCTACAACTGTGCGTGGGACATTGCTGTGCGCAATTGACTGCCGCGTTCGCCCACAAATATACAGTCAATTCACTTTACAGTGTGTTCTGTGAAGCGCTTTGGGATGTCCTCCAGACGTGAAAAGCGCTACATCAAATGCAAGGATTATTATTATATATTATTATTGTCCTCCCCAAATAGCTATCTACATCACTCTTTAAAGTTGTTAACAAATTGGCTTCCACCACCCTTTCAGGCAATGCATTCCAGATCCGAAAAACTCGCTGTGTGAAAAAATTTCTCCTCATCTACCGTTTCTTTTAACAACTATTTTAAATTGGTGTCTTCGGGTTACCAACCCACCCGCCAGTGGAAATAGTTTCTCCTTGTACACCCTATCGAATCCCCTCAGAACTTTTATTAAGTCTCCTCTTAACCATCTCTGCTCAAAGGAGAATAATCCTCGCTTCTCTCGCCTCTCCTGATAACTGAAGTCCCTCATTCCTGGTACCATCCTGGTAAATATCCTTTGCACCCTTTCCAATGTCTTGACATCCTTCCTAAAGTGTGGTGACCAGAACTGAACACAGTACTCTAGCTGAGGCCTAACCAGTGTTTCTTAAAGGTTCATCATAATGGGCGACAATGGGCTCAAACACTATCAATGGAGTAACTGAACTGGCAATGGCACCATAAACCTGGCAACAAAGAACACAGGATGCCAACCAGCCTTCACAAGCCTTCCATTCTGTCCTGCGGGTTGTGCAAGTGTGGCACGGCATGTCTGTCTGAATGAAGACTGGATATTTAGCTTGTTTCAAACTTGAATTAAGGAATGAACCATGCTGTTTGTGTGCAAGAATAAAGGAAGCTACACATTGTTCAATTATCCATTGAAATGCCAAGCCTACTACCTTGATTACGCCTCCAAGTTTGGCATCTGCGATGGCCAGCTGCTCATGAGCTTCCTTTGCTACAATCTTCTTCAGTATTTTTTTCAGGCTTTTACTCAGTTTACCTTCCACAAGGGCAGTAGCGGCTGGAAAAGAACCCAAGAAGCTAATGAGTGCCCAAGCTCTGAATGACAGTGGATAAATGTGAAGGACATTCAAGATTTTGTTGAACAGATGTATTGAGTTTGATTCCACTGGTTTTCAGTTTTTTTGTTTTGGTCAGCCAGATGTCTAACACAAACCTGGAAAACCCATCACCATATTTAAGAGAATTAAAACCAAACAGAGCTCCATGCATCCCACCTAGACATGGAAGTTCCAGAGATCCATTGTTGGAATGCACATTCTGCATGGAGGGACACTTCCTGCTCACCTAATTCTGGCGCAGGCTGTCAAAACCCAAGGGTTGGGAAACCCAGTGTGTGCTTTAGGGTACTGCCGGGAGTCTAGCCAGCTAAAACCACAAAGCCTGCCATTGAGAACACTGCCTGGCAAGCTTTCCCGCTGCTTGTCTAGCTAGGATCATCCTACCCATTAAGACTTTGGCTTGCAGGGTTAATGGGAGCCAAGTAGGAAGAGTCCTTGCCTGCCTTCCTTGTCCTGTCAATGAGCCAGGCTTTGTCGCCATCAGGAACCGGTTCACCGAGACTGCCAGAGGCTGGCGGCTTGATTCTGACATTCTGCCAAATATGTCAACTTGGGAGACAGTTCAGTTCCAAGAAGAACTCACTTACCAGCCCCCACCCAGGAGGATAGTCTCTAGTTTGTCATTTGATATCTGACAAGCATGGGCTTTAGCCCACACCAGGTGGATGGCAGGTACCAGGAACTCCCTGTGAGCTTCCTGGTGACAATACAGCACAGCATGTGTGCGAGAGCCTCTTCCTGTCCAAGGCTGACATACATAATAATTCTTGCATTTGATATAGCATCTTATCACATCATTGAGGGAGTCTCAAAGTGCCTCACAGAATATATTGTAAAAATAGTTGACTGTATATTTTGTGGGCGAATGTTTGTCCCAAAACAGTCATAGATTGAGTGACAATTTTTTTAAAAAAGGCATTATTACTTCTGGAAAGCAACCCGACAATTGACTGAAAACCAGGTTCCAACTCACTGCTAGGTAAACAGAGGCTTGTGGAGTATGATCTAATATGAAATCTGTAAGTTCCACCTTGCATAAGATCACTTGTACTTACAGTTCTCTGTTGCAACATACTAACCCACCTTGATTGAAAACATTAATGGGATCTGTGGCTTATCAAATGACTGACTTTTCTTTAATTCAGTTGTCCCATCAAGAATTTTAAGCAAGTGTTGTAATAAGAACAAAGATTAATACCAGAGAGGCGCATTCAAACCTTGCAAGTACTAAATGTGCACTCCTTTGTACTTATTCACTTCTCCTTGGGTTAGTCTATTTGTGCAAAGGGTTTTTCCTTCTAGCAAGTTGCCAGTTTGCATCAAATGGGATAGACAGGACCTGTACTTTCCAGTACTGATTAACCAGTTCAAGTGTTTCCTTACCTGCAAGAGCTTCTGTGGTATCTTGAAACTTTTCAAATTGTTTTAGCTTCACACTACAGAGAGAATGAAAATAAAGTTTGAAAATGTCTATTTAATGTACTGTATTTTAAAATCTGTCAAGTAGTCACGTTCATTCCACAAATTCAAATTACAATTAGATTACCAATATGCCCATTCCTTCCTTTTTCTAAAAAATATAATACAAGAACATATGAATTAGGAGCAGGAGTAGGCCATTCTAGCCTGCCCCACCATTCAATAAGATCATGGCTGATCTATTCTAACTCCACCTACCCGCCTTATCCCCATATCCCTTAATCCCTTTATCTACAAGAAATCTATCAATCAATCTATGGGCGAGTGGAACAAATCCCTAATGCTGTCCCAAGCGAAGAGAGTTGAAGCACAGATAATGACCTTTTATGTACTGATCAGACATTGGCATTGGAAAAAGGAGATGTTTGAAATCCTTTTCTGAACCTTCTGGCCATGTCCGAATACATCACTATTGGGAAGGACCAGGAAGCCCTTCATTGGTAGAGCCCCTATGAAGCTGCCACCTGGATTATCGATGGACCTCCTTCTGTATGCTGCCAATTTGCCGAATTACATGTCAGTGCTGCTTAGATCCACATGTGATGGAGTCGATTATAATATTCTTCAACTGGGACAAACATATCAAATCCCGTTCTGTTAACAGAAAGCTATATCATGGATATTTATGGCTATATGTCTGATTCTTAACGGATTTTACATAACCTTTATGTGAAAAAACTGTTCTAAGATGATACAGTGTCCAACAAGGAACTACGCTACAAAGCTAAGGCAGGAAGCTATTTTTTTATTAGAGACGACAAGTGACTGCAGACTTTCTGTGCCACAACTTTTGAAATTTGTTGATATTTTATTTAAAAGGATTTCTTGTACTACTCATTTACTACTGCACAACTTTTATTACGCTACCCATATGGTATATTCGAGGTGGTTGAACCATCTCACACTAGCAGTCTCAGATGAGGTAGTGACTGAAATACCATCACAGTATTTAATCAGGAAAGTGACATAGTCGTCGTCATCATCACTGCAGCCAGTGTCAGATGGAACAAGACCATCTTCACCCCAGCAAGGTCACACGATTGAAGGATAACACGCAGGATCAATGGTCACCTGCTAACTGCCATGCAACATGATAAGTCTCAAAACTAATTTTGCGGACATTCTCTGTTGTCATAAAGCATAGCAAGCAAAACTGACATCCTATTTAAAATCATCCCTCTCCTACACGTAAGAGGCAAGCTTCAATACGGGAAGTTACCTGGAACAAATCCAGGCATTGGTAAAAAGAAAAAGGGTTGCATTCACTATCAAGTTTATACTTATACATCAACACAAGTATAATACATTCCATATACCCCAGTACAGCAAGTGTTTAGCTAATTGGGAATGACTCCTTTCAGACTGATTGATTTTTTTAAAAAAAATCACTTATGCAATCACAAAACCAAAACTGCCTACATTTTGTGTGCTTTTTCTGCTGTTTCAAACTCCCGCCATAAATTGTCCACTTCCTGGAGTTTACTCTCATCTAGAACCTAGAAGGAGCAGAAAAACAGCCAGATTAACAAGATACAATAGGCATTCAGTCCAACAGAGAAATTGACTCATGACTTGTCAACCCACCTTTGAATAGTGCTTTGCTACAGAAATGTGCCTGTTAACTGCTCAAATCAGCTAACTATGCAGCCAGACGATGTAAAATCTGCAGCCTTCTAATCGACATTGATTATTGGCAGGATATCCTACATAACATTCAGAAATTATATCATAAACCTTTCAGTACAAATTAATTCTATTTGCAGTTATCTGCCATCCAGCTAATAATAATCCTTGCATTTGATATAGCGCTTCCGAGACATCTCAAAGCGCTCCACAGAATATATACTGTGAAACGAATTGACTGTATATTGTGGGCGAAAGCGGCAGCCAATTGGGCACACCAGTGTCCCCCAAATGATCATGGATTGAGTAACCAAATTATTTGTATTTATTTTGAATGAATTATTACACCAGGAAAAGCGCCAATCGACTAACAACCGGGTTCCTACATACTGCTAGGTAAACAGAGGCATGTGGAGTAAGGAAACTTGCCCAACGTTTCGCCCTGCTGGAACCCATGTCCTCTCGCTTGTGAGGTGAGTGCTCTAACCACTAAGTTACAGGACTACCAAGACATCCTCCTGATAGGAAAGGCTCTATATAAAATGTAAGAATTATTAGGTATCTAGACCAAACTAAGGATTTCCTCCAGCCCATTTTTATCTTCCTTTCCAGAAGGAGATGCTGGTTCTATCAGCCAAACATGAGGCAGTGAAGGCCAAGAGTAAGCACCCGCCCAACATACACACAGCTGCACTCCTGACCCTGATCAAATTTCCCCTATTTTGAATCGAGCCTTGCATTTGATATTGCGCTGTATCATGTTGGCGAGATTTCTCAAAAAGCCTAGTGGATTGAATTGTATTCTGTGGGCAGAATGAATGCAACTCTAAAACAGAGAAATCAGCTATTAATCAATACAAGAAGCTTCTTCAGCACTACAAGCACCAGAAATTGTAACGAATGCGATTTATACCTGTGTGTGTGTACGTGTCCCTGAATTTAGTTTACAAAATTCTCCCACAGAAAATACACTCAATTCACTTTACTGTAAATCCTGTGAAGCTCTTTGAGACGTCTCAACGACGTCTTTAAAATGTGGTCACCCGACAAAGCCGATGAGGTTTTGAAGCGCGTCCCCCCGCGGGGTCTGTGTAAGGATACGACCTTTCACTGTTTTCAGTGGAGCGCGGCAGTAACTCCCTCCCCCTCCCCCCGGGAATTTATCTCAGCTTTCTCCCATTTCGTCAACATTTGCCGCGCATCAACCGCGCATCTCCCCCACCAACCGCGCATCTCCCCCACCAACCGCGCATCTCCCCCACCAACCGCGCATCTCCCCCACCAACCGCGCATCTCCCCCACCAACCGCGCATCTCCCCCACCAACCGCGCATCTCCCCCACCAACCGCGCATCTCCCCCACCAACCGCGCATCTCCCCCACCAACCGCGCATCTCCCCCACCAACCGCGCATCTCCCCCACCAACCGCGCATCTCCCCCACCAACCGCGCTGTGCCTGAGGGGGTGAAGAAGTGGATATCTCCGGCCCAGGCCCAACGCCGCCGCAGTACCACGTGTACAGCCCAGTCGGGCCGCCGCGTCTCAGTGCCGCCAGGTCCAGTGTGCAGCTGTCGGGCATTTAAGACGCACCGCCGGCAGCTTATTAAAGTGCGGGCCTGTGTGGGAGGGGAGAGAGGGGAAGGGGGGCCCGGCCGCCCGCCCGCCCGCCCGGCCGCCCGCGCTAGTACCAGACCACGAGGGGATGAGGCCTAGTTTCGGCTCCTCGTGGTAGAGCCGCCGCAGTTTGCCCCGAGTCACCAGAGGCCGCTCGATTTCAAACGCTGACCCCCCGCCGGTGACAGTGGCTCTTCTCCTTACCTTGAAGATGGCGTAACCCGCCGCGGTCTCAAACAGCACTAACATGATCCCGACCGCTACCCCGACCCGACCCGACCGAACGGCCACAACCGCGCGCGCGAAAGACGGTCCGTGCGCAGGCGCGGCAGCTCACGAGCATGGTCAGAGCCAGAGCGCAGGCGCGGCAGCTCACGAGCATGGTCAGAGCCAGAGCGCAGGCGCGGCAGCTCACTAGCATGGTCAGAGCGCAGGCGCGGCAGCTCACGAGCATGGTCAGAGCCAGAGCGCAGGCGCGGCAAATGGAAGGCTGGACAGGCGGCCAATGAGCTGATGCCGCGGGGGGTGGGGGGGTTCGGGCAGTTGCACACAGTGGCCTCACACACCACACGGCTTGAGGACAAACTGAGAGTTGGTATGAAAGGACTTGTTCTGGGTGTCAGGCAGCAGCAGTGCTGACTTTTAAAGTTTGTCGATGACACTAAATTAGGAGGTGTTTGTAAACCGTGAAGACAGGAGAAAAGTGCCTCCTCGTCCTCTTTGACCTCTCTGCTGCCTTCGACAATGTTGACCACTCTATCCTCATCCACTGCCTCTCTTCTCACCTCAACCTTCATGGTTCTGTCCTTGACTGGTTCAGATCATACCTTTCACACCACCTCCACTACTTCATCTCCACAAACAGTTTCTCCTGACATTCCTCAGGGCTCTGTCCTTGGTCCCCTTTCTTCAACATTTATTTTCGCCCACAAAATATACAGTTAATTCATTTTACAGTCTATTCTGTGAAGCGCTTTAAGACATCTAGAAGATGTGAAGATGTGAAAAGCACTATATCAAATGCAAGGATTATTATTATAATATCTCTATGCTCCCTCTTGGTGACATCATCTGCAGTTGATAAATGATCAACTTCCAGATGTATGCGGACGGCACCCAACTTTACCTCTCTGCTTCCATCCTTGACTCCAGGACCACTGCTGTCCTGGCAGAATGTCTCAGACATCAAGTCCTGGATGAGAGCTAACTTTCTTCAGTTGAATGTCAACAAGACCGAGGCTTTCCTGATTGGTTGCTGTCAGCACCTCCTCACCTCGGGCGGTGACAGCATCACCATCCATGGTTGCACTCTCCACCTTACTAAGCCAGTGCGGAACCTTGGTGTCCTGTTTGACCCTCAACTATCCTTTCTACCCCACATCCATACCATGACCTGCTCTGCCTTCTCCAACCTCCGCAACATCACCTGGCTCTGCTACTGTCTCACAACGCAGGCCGCCGAAACCCTTATACACGTGTTCATAACATTGAGGCTCAACTATGCAAACTCCTTGCTTGTCAGCCTCCCCAACTCCTCCCTCCGTAGGCTGCTAATCACCCAGAACTCTGCAGCCCATGTCCTCTCCCGCACCTGCTCCATGACCCTATCAACCCTATCTTCGCCCGACTCCACTGGCTTCCCATCACACAGAGGATACAGTTCAAAATCCTGGTCCTCACCTTCAAAGCTCTCCATGGCCCTGCTCCCCCTACCTCTGCGACCTAACCGACTTCCATCCTGCTCGCTCCCTCTGTTCAGCGGGCTCTGATCTGCTTCACATTCTCCGCCTTGCCCGCCCCACCATTGGTAGGCGGGCCTTCTGCCACTCTGCCCACACCCTCTGGGACTCCATCCCGAAGTTCCTCCGCCTCGCCCTCTCCCTTGCCTCCTTAAAGACCCATCTCGAGACCCTCCTCTTCGACCGTGCTTTCGATCACCCTGCTTCCCCCCGCTTCCCACCCACTCCACCTGGCCCCCACCCTTCCCCCCCACCCCCACTCTCCCCAATCCTGACCCCCAGCTCAGGTCCGAAACACTGACTGTCCAGTGCCTTGGGACATCCTCCTGATGTGAAAGGCACTATACAAATGTAATTATGTTGTTGTGAAAAATATACAGTGAAAAAGACATAGACTGATTAAGCAAGTTGCACAACTATGGCAAATGGACATGCAGTGGAGTTTAATACTGCAAAATACGAGGTAGTGCAACAACTTGCATTTATACAGTGTCCTTCACAATGGGATAGTGGCTTGGAGAGCCACACCCTGGTGGGGTTGGACACCAAGCAAGGGAGAAGTGACCATAGATATGGTTGAAGAGATGGGATTTAAGGATAAAGAGTGATTGAGGCGGGAAGCATGGTCACCAACAGTGTTGGAGAGGGGCTGGGGAATGCACAGCAGGCCTATGCCAATAGACGTTTGTCAGCCTGGTGCAGTCGGTAGCACTCTCACCTCTGAGTCAAAAGGTTGTAGGTTCAAGCCCCATGTTGGGACTTGGAATCACAGTCTAAGCTGGTACACCAATGCAGTGCTGAGTCCATGTTTCATTGTCGGAGGTACCATTGTTTGGATGAGACTTTAAATTGAGGTCCCATCTGCCTAATTCGGTAGATGTTAAAAATCCCATAGCATTATTTGAAAAGAGAAGGGAGTTCCTCCCGGTGTCCTGACCATCAATCCCTCAAATATAATTCATTACTCGCTCCATGGATTTTTATGGTACATTGCTGTGCACAACTGGCCTCTGTGTTTTGCCAACAAAATACACAATGAAATGACTTTTCACTATGTCATGTGAAGAGCTTTGAGACATCTCAATGATGTGATAAAGCGCTATATCAAATGCAAGGATTATTATTATTAGAAGAATGGTTGTTGGAAATTTGTTTTAATGGTGAAGTACTCAGAGAGATAGATGAGCAAAGAGATCTAGGAATTTAAGTCTACAGTTAATTAAAGTTTAGTTCCCAGCTGCAAAAAGCATTCAATAAGGTAAATGGGATGCTGTTCATCATAATGAAAGGCCTGAGTATAAAAACAAGTTTTGCTGCTCAGTTATACAATACTGGTCAGATGTCATTTGGAATGCTGAGTTCAGTTTTTTTGGCAGACAATCTTAATAATAATTCTTGCATATAGTCATAGATTTAGTAAGTCTTGGCCTTCTAAGGTGTCCAGTGATTAATATGCGTCGATGGTTGTCCTCATCGCCCATGCTCTCCGTAAGACCTTCCCCCACCTTCAGAAGGCAAACCTCCCTTCCCTCGTCCACATCCGCAGCCTTCCCACCTCTCCTCCCCCCTCAAACCCCACGATCACTTTGCCCTCACAAACTGCAACCCCCCAAATCCCTTCCCCACTCAAGCACTCCACCCTCTCCCATCAACAACCCTACCCATATTGCCCTCCAAAACGTCTGCTCACTCTCAAACAAAGCCCTTGCTATCCACAACCTCATCCTGGATGAGTATATTGATATCCAAAGGCTCACAGAAACCTGGCTGCCCCTCGATGACCCTGTCCCCCTCATCAAAGCTTCCCCCGCTACACTTTCCACCAAACCCAACGCCCAAACTGTCGCGGTGGTAGGGTGGCCCTCATCTCTCAAACTTCTCTTGGTCTATCCCCCTACTCTCTAGCTATTTCCCTTTATTTGAGCACTTCACCCTGTCCATCCCTCCTCTAAGACCCTCAGAATTCTCGTTGTTCTGCCCCACCTCCTCTGACTTCACTGCCCTCCTCTCCCACTAAACCTCACCCGCCACATTAACCCACAACCATGTCCACCCCCTTGACTTAGTCATCACCGATGGCCTAGACATCTCTGGTTTGTCCATCACTGACAAGACCATCTCTGACCAGTTCTTCAACTCCCTCTCCTCCCGTATCCCCCTCCCCTCCTCCAAGGCCTCCACCATTTTTTTCCGCCCATGGAAGAAGCTTATCTCACAAACACCCTCTCATCCTCAGACCGTCTCTCCCTTTGGCCTTCCACCCGCAGTGATCCTGATTCAGCCATCAAGCTCCTAAACAATCACCTCTCCTCCTTTAATTCCCTTGTCCCCTTGAAATCTGGGACATCTCCAAACTTACTTACTCCCCCTGGTACAACAGTCACCTCCACCCCCTTAAATCCCAAACCCGATTGCTTGAACACAGATGGCACAAAACTGGCCTCACGGTTTACCCCCAACTGTGGGTCAAGCATCTTCTTACCTATCGCCGCTCCCTCTCTCAAGCCTTCTATTCACAGATCATTCTTAAGGCCAACACTAACCCCCAAATTCTGTTCTCCACAACCCACCACCTCCTCCATGCCCCTTCTCAAGCACTCTCGATTCTCACTTCAGACACCAAGTGCGAAGAGGTCCTGAACTTCTTTATCTCCAAGATCGGCAACATCCACCTGGTTACCTCCTCCTCCACCACCCCCACCCCACTTTCCATGTCGTCTATCACCCGCCCCCCCATCATGTCATCTACCACTCCCACCCCCCATGCCTCCTTCACCAACCCCTCCTCCTACCATGGCACATACCCTAGACTCATTTACCCCCATCTCTCCCACCTCCCTTTCCCCCACCATCACCAAGATGAACCCCTCTCAACCCAGCTTCTGGTCACCCAACTCCCCCTCCTCTGGCCACTGCTGGATGACACAATCAACTAGTCCCTCTACTCAGGCAAATTTCCTGCAGCTGAATGTCAGCAAGATAGAAGCCATGCTCATTGGCTCCCATCTCTCCTGAAGGTCTGAACTCCTCAATCTCCCGGGGTTGAGGAGTTCAGACTCACTAAACCTGTCCGCAACTTAGGTGTCAGATTTGATCCCCAGCTTTCCTTTCTACCCCACATCCGTTCCCTAACCAGCACAGCTTTTTTCCACTTCCGCCTCATTGCCTGCCTCTGTCTGTACCTCACAACAAAAGCAGCCAAAACCCTCGTCCAAACCTTTGGCGCTTCCCCGGTGGACTGTTCCAATGCCCTCCTCGCTGGTCTCCCCAGCTCCACAACACACAAAATACAACTTATTCAGAACACCACCACTCGGATTCTCACTCGCACAAAACTCTGTATCCCCATCACACCAGTACATGCCAGGGTCCATTGGCTCCCAATTACTAAACAGATTTATTTCAAGATCCTCTCATTCATTTTCAAACCCTTCATGCCCTCGCACCTCCCTACCAATCCGATTTGCTTACTACCCACCCGCTGCCTCTGCTCGTCTGACTCTGGCCTCCAGTTTATCCCTCGTCCCCTCCACTCCACCATCGGCGGCTGTGCCTTCAGCCACTACACCCCGAAACTCTGGAAC